GGAACTAGAAGCCTGGTTGTCGTGGGAATAGAGAAAATTCAAGTTTGAGGGGTATTTAGACTTAGTGACTAACTTAATGGGGTCAAAGTCAGAGAGAACAAACCATCAAAGCTGAAGTTTTTACCTAGGGTATGTCAGTTACTTTTGCCTCACAGTGACCACAGTTCCCAACAACTCACAGTTTTGTAGGGTTTCAGTCCATTGTGGAAGGGAAGGCATGGTGGATAGTACCATCATGGTTTCGGATATAACTCAACTATGCATGATGGGACATAGGAAAAATACCCAACCCTTCAGAGAAGGTGCTGTTATCAGGTCTGGAAAAGCAATTGAAGTTTAGGGCAGGGCAACTAGGGTGCAAATTAGCACACTGAAGTGGGAACAATTTCTGTATGAGCCAAGCATAAGCTGAGAACAGCAGATGCTGTCCAGTGGGCACAAGGGATCCTATCTCTCACTCTAGGCATTAGGGTTGGGGCCAGAAGAGCAGTTCTAGACCCTCGTCTTCTTGTGAGGGTGTGTTCCTGATGAATGGGGTCAGAGCAGTCTTGGGAGTTGAATGGTACTCATCTTACCATTGGAACCTACAGAGTAGAGACAGGGATTTTCATTTTTAGCTTTCAATCTTAATACTTACGGTCCTCAAAAGTCTAGGAATCTGACAGTCAGAACTCCTGATCCTGTCCTCTTGAACAGCCCAGTACACGGTCCCATTGCACCTGCATGGGCAATTACACCCATACAGTGCACACGTGTGTGAGCCTGCACACACACAACACACTCCACTCTCCATTCTGACTTCGAGGACATGCATTAGTGAAGTGATGAGCAGCCAGACACTATCACCCCGGAGCTCCTAATGGTATTCCAGCATGCTTATGAATTTTCTGCCCACATCACTCTCAGCGTCTCATACACGGCTGTCTACACTTGCCTAGCTTGGGGACCACAGCTCCACAGAAGCCAATAGATACTTCTTGGTAGTCGCAACAACAGCAGCAGGTGCTTATCTCCAGTGCTTAATATGTATCATTTGTTACCACCAGTATTTAGGATAAAATGTCACTTAACCTTTAAATGACAGTAAAACAGTAAAAGGCTGTTACTATTGTTATGGTTTTACTCATGAGAAATCTGAAGCTCATGCATTGAGTACCTTACCTAAGGCTACGTAGCTGGATTCTAATTTAGGACTGATTCCCAAACCCAGGCCTTTAACCACCATGCTGCAAAAAAGACGAATGTTTCTGAGAATGTGTTTCTGATTCTTCGGAGCATGAGTTTGTGTGTCTATCACACACAACTGAGAGCTGACTAACATCTATTAATAATTGATTAAGAGAGCTCAATGGCTTGGCTTGCTCAAGTGACTAATCTCATTAACAAAGAACAGAGCTGCTGAAGAGGTTATTCTCAGCAATCATCTAATGAACAAACCCCCAAACTTGACTCTCCTTAAAAAAATAAGAGTAACATTTAAAACCTCAACAAGCAATGCTTTTATGTTGCACTCTTCCCCCTTGCTGATTTTATTTACCCTAGAGAGGCCAGGAACTGTGATTTTCCCAAGTAGAGTCTCAGCAGGACACAGAGCGGAGAACTGGCATGGTCAAGTGCATAGTGCGTTCTGGCAATAGTGCCTGTGTCTCATCCCAGCACAGCCATTATTAACGGAACCCGTGTCGCCTCTCTTTATGTCTCCTGGAAAACTGGGATATGAATAAAGATTGGAAGTATTACAGGGTCCAAAATTGGTGCTGTGTAATTTAAGGAGTAACTGTAAAGTAATGTATGTTGATGGGGGAAGTCCTGTGATTATGTCAATAAAGCACTGTTGGGCCAATAGGGAACCAAGATAGGTGGGACTAGGAGTCCAGGAAAACTCTGGGAATGAGAAACACAGAGAGTCAAGATGTAACGCCATGGGGTAGGAAGCCCGGAAACTTCTCCAGTAAGAGACATACTTAGATTAACAATTATGGGGTAATTACTTAGGTCAGAGCTAGCCAGTAAGAAACAAGCAAGGCCAACAGCTTCATAATTAATATAGCCTCCTGTGTGTTTATTTGGGACTGATGCGGTTCTAGAACCAGGCTGGCGGGAAGGCTTCTCTCAAGGAAAAGGCTTTCCTTTACAATATGTTGCTATTACAGCCATATGAATCAGGGAGAGTGGAATTAGCTACATCAACTGAGCTTCCAGATTGAATTGTTACTTATCCCTCAGTGGGGCTGATGTACAGAATATGGATATGATCAAACCTGGTAGTAGGAGATGGTCCTTGACATGTGGTAGCAGCAGAACAGGAAGTGAAGACAAAGGTGAAAATGGTGAGGGGGCATTGCCATGTGAGACCTACCTATATTAAGTCTGCTCCTTGAAGGTGCCCAACGAGATAGCATGCTTGTGTTGTGTCCCTGGGAGGAAGCATGATGGTACTTCCTGGGTAGATGAGGAAAATGAGTCTCAGATTGCTACATAGATTTTAAGACCTTGCCACTAGTATGTTGCCAGATTATATTCCAAGCCTTTCCTGTTTGATGCTAACACTATTTTAATATATTATACACTCTATGATTCACTACTTTCCTCTACAAAGCCCTCGAGATTCTCATACTAATAATCATATATTTGCTCATCCATTCCTTCATTTATTCATGGGTAGCCTGTAAGCACATGGCTGGTCCAAAACACTCTTGTGCTCATTACCAAATTCCATGGAATGGAGAAATCATTTTCTCATAATAAGAATTAGGGTCCATGTTTCCCACTGTGCCTTTCATGGGGGAGGGATATGGGTCTGGAAAGCGGGAGACATGAGTACATCTTATCTTTGTCAACACTGCTTCACTAAGGAGGCAAATTCCTAAAAAGTTTGTTTGAGCTGTTGGGTGAGTTATCTGTACCGTAGACACAGAGGAGAAGGTTCTCAAAGGAAAGGTGTCCTTCCTCACCTGTCTCAAGTCTATGCTGCAGTTCTAAGGCAAAACCTTCTGCCCCAGGTTGGGCCCATGTGCTGGTGCAAGCTTTTAATCACAACACTCGGGAGGCAGAGGCAAGTGGATCTTTGAGTTTGAGGCCAGCCTGGTCTACAGAGAGAGCTCAGGGTAGCCAGGGCTACACAGAGCGATCCTGTCTCAAAAAACCAAAACTAAGGAAGGAAAAAAGCCTTCTGCTCGAAGGTACAAGAAGTTAACTTGGCAATTCTTGTATTCAGCTCAGAACCTCTTACACTTACCTTTGTATTTCTTTTCTGTTTCTCATCACCTTCCTTCCTTCCTTCCTTCCTTCCTTCCTTCCTTCCTTCCTTCCTTCCTTTCTCTTCTAACAGAAGCTTAGTCTAGGCTTGAAACTCTAGACTTTCCCATTCACTTAGAAAGTTGTGTTCTCGTTGCTTAGATTTTCTAGATTTTACTAATGAATTCACACAGGCTCTTGGTCTCTCAAATTCCCTTGGTCTCTCATTCACTATAATTACCCCGTTCTTTTGGCATCTCTTCTCATCTGATTTTTGTGTCATTTCTACTTGTGATTTCTCTTCAAAGCTATTCCACCTAGTCTACTGTTTTGGATCTGAGCTCTCCCTGTTGTGAAAATACTTTTTTCCCCCTTTATTTCTTCCTTTTGGGTCACCATATGGAACAGAAGTCAACGTCTCTTGAAGTCATACTTCCTAATTTCATTGTTATTTGTCAAGTATCTTTTCAGCACCTCTGGGCTTCATAATCAAGGTTGGTAAGACAATATACTGTCCTTTCCTGAAAGGGCATGAAAGGAAAAACTCATAACACTGTTACTATAACTGTGTACACAACAATGATATATGTTGCTGACACAAAGAAGGAAGAAGGGACAAACTGGTCGGAGAATGCATCCTAAGAAGACTTTGAATTGAGTTTTGAATGATGGAAAACAGATTTCCAAGGGAACTGAGGCAAAGCATTTCAGAAACAAGGATCGTCAAGTGCAAAGACGGAGAGATATGGGATAACATGGCTCATTTTAAGGTGTTTGATATTTGTCAGGCTTGGTGCTCAAATAGTTACATCAAAGGGGTGAAGCTGAAGGCAAGGAGCTAGCTGGTGGATATTGGAATGTCTGTGGGAGCCCGGCTTTATGGGGCTACAGTTAGAACCAGCCAACTTGCCCTGGTTTGTATCTGAGAGGGAGAGTGTGGATTGAGAAAGGCTAGGTAAAGACATTAAGAGAAAGACAGAGACACAGGATAGAGTCAGGAGGGCAATTCAGTGAATACTGAATGCCCCAAGTTTATTCTTCACCATTCTTAAATACCTTAACCAAAAAAGGGAGCTTGGTATCCTGTATACGGAACAAACAGACTTTCTTCCTAATTTCTCCAAGGGTTCAGTAACCACACCTTAGATTTCAATTTCTCGTTATCTGGTCTTGAAAGTCAAGAGTAACCACACTTCATACCAAATCTGTTGTTATTTAGATAAGACACCCACGACTAAGATTAAACATCCCACTGTAGCCATGCCTTAGATCTTTATGTCTTACGACTTACTAGGGGCAGTTTTGAACTCTCTTTGAGCCAAGATGAAACGGAGCCATCTTTATGGGCCCCAACAAATGTCTTGCCAGATGTGATGGTTAGTTTCAGCTATGAACTTGATGAGATCTTGAATGACTTGGGATACAGCCTCTGGGCATGCCTGCGGGGGTTATCGGGTTAGGTTGTTGTGGGAAGAACTACTCATTGTGGGTGCTTCATTCCCTGGGCTAGGAACCTAGACTGCGTAAGAAAGAACGGGAGCTAAGGGCACACACTGGTAACTCTGTTTCTCCACGGTGGATACAGTGACTGGCCGACTCAAGCTCCCGCAGCTCTACCTTCCTTACCACAATAGACTGTAACTGGGAGCTGTGAGCCCAAATAAACACAGAATAAAGGTGTGAGGAGGGACTACGCGATCACGTGGCGAGAGGTGAGGCCCTTGGTATGGATCTGGCTTGAGCGTGTTCATTCTGTTTTGCAGCCATGGCGGAAGGCCTCCAGGTGTCAGTGCCTGACAAGAAGAAGGTGGCCATGCTCTTCCAGCCCACTGTGCTTCGCTGCCATTTCTCCACATCCTCCCATCAGCCTGCGGTGGTGCAGTGGAAGTTCAAATCCTACTGCCAGGATCGCATGGGAGAATCCCTGGGCATGGCCTCTCCCAGGGCCCAGGCTCTCAGCAAGAGGAACCTGGAGTGGGACCCCTACTTGGATTGTTTAGACAGCAGAAGGACCGTTCGCGTGGTAGCTTCCAAACAGGGCTCAACCGTTACCCTGGGAGACTTCTACAGGGGCAGAGAGATCACAATAGTTCATGGTACTGATGCCATTTTTATGAGTCTAGGGAGTGGGAGGAGGCTCGGTTTGGTTTTTTTTTTTTCCCCCAGACAGAAGGGGAAGTCTCATTTCAGTTCCTCCAGGATCTAATTTTGTGGGAGTCGAGAGCATCATGAGCCCAGACATATAGTTTTGAATGGCTGGGGAGGGAGTGTAGACAATGCAATATGTAGGGAGCATAGAAATAAGCTCTGGAGTAGCCTTTCAGAGCCTGACCTCCAATCTCAGAGATTTTTTTTCCAGAACAATTTGAACTATAGTTTCAAAATACTATTTGAAATAGTTTTTTTTTTTAAATCAGAACTATTTAGTGGAAGAACTTGAGGGAGACATTTTGTTCCTGGACATTTCCCTTTTAGCTCTTTACTGAACCTGAAAAGTGGCTTCCCTAAAAATTCCTTTTTCTGGAAAAAGGGGTGTATGAGTACAAGCTTGAGAGCCAGGTAGATGGATCAATTCCACCCTCTCTCTAGTTCTCTTAAGCTTTAGATAAGAAAAGGTCAGAAGTCTCATGACCTATTGGATCATTAAATGACTTGAAGAAATCGGTTTATTTCTAGGAACCCAAAATTATTTGGGAAATTACCTGATTCTTAAGTGCCATCATAGGCCTGGTTCAAACCTCTCAGCTATTCCTGAAAGTGGACTAGAACCAGATGTGTCTGTGGCTCTACTCTAATTCTCTTGCCTTAAGGATGCTACTTTGTATTATTTTGTTTGAAATAAAGCAAGCATTTTTCCAACCACTGTCCAGGCAAAGAAACAGAACTGTGTAGATGTCCCAAAAGGGTGCTCCTGTTCCAGGGCCCCCATTGTTCAGTGTCTTTCTTCAGGAGTGGGTCCTCCTCTTTGTGATAACAGATGCAGATCTTCAGATTGGAAAACTCATGTGGGGAGACAGTGGCCTGTATTACTGTATCATCACCACCCCGGATGACCTGGAAGGCAAAAATGAGGACTCTGTGGAACTGCTGGTGTTGGGTAAGTGTAAACCAGGGGCGACATTTTCATCTTAGGCTGCTTGCATTGCATTCCCTTTCTCCTTGCATGTATTAGCAGGCTGCATATATGGTCTTAGCTTTTGTGCACAGACAGGCCTGTTATAGGATATTCTCTTTCTGTATAGTAGCTGTATTTATCGTGTCTGGCCTCTGGAAGGCTATGACTCTTTTTGGAGCATTGTCAGAAATGTTTCTCGTTTCGTCAGGGTTCCTTACTTTTCCACTGTCACCTTTAACCCTGATTTCCCTTAGCCTTTTCCGCTCTTTTTACGTGGTAATTAATTGTTCAAGAAAATGCCAGAGGCCTTTGAAGTATGGTAGAGTCTTAAAGAGAGAACTCATTGGTGTGCAAGCACTTCTGAAGACCCCAGGAGTCTTTTCACACTCAATTGTCTCTACTTAAGATACTCAGAGGCAAAATAACTATAAACTGGAGAGTCTAGTAATAAAAGGCATCCCATAGAGCCATGTAGACGTGTGCTAGTTTAACTAGAAGGGGAAACGTCTGAATTATTCTCAAGCAAACATCTCTAATCCTTATTAACTGCTTCATAACTGGAGATTCCTTATTTTGGCTACTTTTCCTCTTGTGGATTGAAGGACTGTTAGTGGGAAACAAACAAAAGCTTAGCTTAAACCAACACAGAAAACTCTCTATCAGTTGTAGGGGGGGAACAATCATTGGCATGTACCCTTTAAGCCATGAGCCAGAAGACATTGGGTTGGTTTTCTTATAGCCTCTAAAAGTTAGCTGACACTAATTTGTGGGAATGTGCAAGAGTTCCTTGTTTGAAAGGAAAATGAAGTTTAAGACTGATTTTACCCACTGTGAGAAACTCAATACCCAAGGATAAAGTAACATTTTTGATTTTAGAATTTTTAGGGTTTTTTTTGTCATGACTTTGACAAAACAATCGCTTGCATGTCTTAGCCTTACATTTTACAAACAGAATTGAGGTGATATTGGCCTTCCTTGTTAGAAGGTTGACTTAAACATGATCCTTAGTGTCAACACAAAAACTATAACTGCTGTGACTTGTAGGAAAATGGAAATTAAAGGAGTGAGTTAAAGAATTATTGACAATGTCAAGAACATGGTAAGACTTGAGATCTGCTGTGGCTTTTAAAATCAGACAGAATCTAAGAGATACATTTTTGCCTAATCTCAGAACTCTAATAGCCAAGTTTGCAGGAACAAAAAGTTTGTTGGAGCCTGCAGTTAGATAATTGTGAGCACAGCGATTTGACTGAGGCAGTCATCTGCAGAGAAGTAATTGTGTGTGTTTCAGGAAAAGGAGGCCAGGTAAAAAAAACTACTCTAGATAATTTGGTCCCACTTGAGCAGATGTGGGGGAAATGAATGGAGGGAAAGTTTTTGCCATCTAATGATATAGACATCCCTCTAGATCAAGCTAACTGTGGGTTGAGGATGACTTTCTTGGGGCCAAAAAGAGGTCAGTGGATGGTGAGTGAAAGGAAGGCTCGGACGACATTGGTCACCAGTGATTGGAGGAGAGACTGAGGAACAGGAATTAGCATTTCTCTGAGAACTGTGAACAAAAATGAGGGACACTGCCATCAGCGCTCTGCATAAATTCAGGGCTTCTACAACGGCACACCTGAGGGACACGTACAGCCCTGTTCTGCTCCACACTGATTAGAAATGTCTAAAACATGATAGTTTTGCCATGGACAATTTTGGGCAATACTACTTATGTCAATTATTTAAAGGACTTGGTTTCAGTCTATGAACAATTTTGACTGCACTAAAGTACTAAATGCAAAATTCTGAGTCTTGATTGTTGACACCCCTCTATAAAAATTTTCAAAATAATGTCACATTAAGACAATTAGAGTTGTTTGGTTGTTATATTTTGCAGGCTATTTTGTGTGATGGTCTTTTCTTCTGTGAGACAAGGAAAGCAACCCGATTTCTGGGTTGTCTGTCAAAGAATGGAGCTCCTGCAAATATTTCTGGGGTTCACAGTTTGATAGTTACAACTCCACGAACTAATGATTATTGAATTTCCTGTGAGGAATGGCTAGAGGGTTCATTCTAGTAACAAACAAACAAACAAAAGGACTTTAAGACCAAGGTACATGTTTTCAAATATTTGGAATGAAGTTTTGTACAAGAGGAATTGGAAACATACTCTGTATGCCTGGCAAGTAGTTCATTACAGGTAGGAGAGCAGCCCAGGGTTGGATATGGAGACTACCACTGCCGAGGCACAGATGAAAAGTGAGAGATTCTGAACCAGAATAGGAAATGGAGACACCCTAACAACTGTTCTGAGAGCAAAGCGGTCAGTCTTGGGGATGTGTGGAGAGGGCAGTGAGAGAGATGAGTCAAACAGGATACAAGGGTTTCTAACTAGGTGGGCAGCCAGCTATCCCATTGACTAAGAAAGAGGACACAGGTGGAAATACAGGTACAGAAGCAGACGGGTGAGTTTAGTAATGGACATGCAAAATTTAAGATGCCCGTGGAACACCAATAGAGCTCTAGGGTCTGTGTTTCATTAGGACAGTTTTCATAGATTGAATCCAATTCCTTTAAGTAACTAATGGCAAATTTAAGATGCCCGTGGAACACCAATAGAGCTCTAGGGTCTGTGTTTCATTAGGACAGTTTTCATAGATTGAATCCAATTCCTTTAAGTAACTAATGGCAAATTGCTTGCTGACAACTGCAAATGTAGGTCTGAAAATCAGGAGACAGTGGGTTTAAGAATCATGACCAACAGACAGGCAGAGCCATATGAGAGTTGATGAATCACCCCAGATACTGCTATAGGATGATCGAGGCCAAGAATAGAACCCTTTGGTGGTGTGTTCTGGTTTTACCTCATGAGAGTGGTAACATTGATACTATATGTGTACTTTTCTTCGATTCCTCACAAAACTGAGAGCTCCTTAGTAGCACTGAATGATGCGCTCTGCAGAGCCAAGGACCAATGCCTCCCCATGTTTGTAATGTTTGCATCTGCCCTGTCAAGGAGGGCTCTACCATAAAGATGCTTTAAAATGATGAAGGGCAGAATCTACAGCTAGTTCCTGCTTTGTGTCTCTTAAATGTTACTGAATACTGCACATGTCTTTGCTGATTTGGCACAATAGACATCTACAGTCTTGAGTGAGATAATATGGTTTGATTTCATCGGTCACAATCTTCATCTAGGTACTTAAGCAATTATTAGTGATAGCTCTGTCAGATTATGGTTGAGAACACTGGTTCTAGTGAACATAAGCAAAAAAAAAAAAAAACAAGAAGAAAAGAATGCATTGGAAGACACCAAAATTGAAAGGAGAGCTAAAGAATATATCTTCTTAGGAAAGAATTTATTAACTTTTACACAAATATCTCCCAAACCACAACAACTTTTCCACCCCAAAGTTTATTTCTACATTTGTTGTAGTCAGATGAGCAGTCCCCCTCCCCCCACACCTCAAGTGGTGGCTTGTGGTTCTAGGGTTCTCTTTTGTTTGACTTTGCTGTGCTGAAGACGCTTGTTCCCAGATCCAGGGAGAGTGGGGACAGCATGAAAAGGAGAATGTAGAAATACATAAATGCTCACCTGGGGCTTTTTAGGACCTAGATCTGGTTGTGACATGGAGCCCTTCTGTAGTCATTTTGTATATGCCCCAGAAGGAAATAACAGTGGTTAACATAGTAGCTATCCTATACAGTACTGTCAGGAATCTCCTGGGTTTATGTTGCCAAAATCGCTGAAAAATATCTTTAGGGCTCCCTTGGAAGAGACCAAAAACCAAGAAAACAAACGTAAATGTTATTTTCCACTCTTCTATTTTCCCAACAAAAAAAAAAGTAGCTTTAAGAGAGAAAGTACAGTTGGTCTAATTAGGTCAGTTGTCCACTGCTTAGCACTGGGAAACCAGAGCTTCTTGGGGATCATCCTCCTATGTAAAGGGAAGGAATACATGAATACTTCCTGTCACCTCACCTCCCCCTGGCCAAGTAAATATTAGCTGAAGTGATGGCAGCACTATGTCCACCACTAATGTTTCTATACACTGAAACGAACTCACAGTGCTTCCCTGGAATGCTTCTATGGGATAGGAAAGTAGCCATTATTCCCCCCATTGGAGTTAAAGAAAATCAACGCCATGCTTTTATAACTGCACACTGGTTTTTAGAAAGTGTCAGTGATTAAACCCCATTGTTTTGATCCCTAACTTTATCTGCTTTCACAATGTCACAAGCCCTGTGTGTACTGAGATACCATAGATTAAGCTATGCCCTAGAAAATGTAGTTGCTGCTTAAGGGCTTAGGTCATGATTTCTACCTGTCCCAGGCTTACTTCCTTGATTCTCTCCATTTCTTCCTTAAATGCTCTGTAGCCATTGACCTGGCCTCCACTTCAAAGGCACAGTTGCTGCTGTCTAGATTGCACACCTCCCCTCTGAGCATGACTCACCCCTCTTCCCACCCCATGCATCTGAGCCTCCATCAGTGGCTGTGAATTCTTCCTTTAGAGGTTTCAGAACTATCCAAAGACGTGTGATTCAGGGAAACGGGAGGACAACTGCTGCTTCGACATTAAACAGGAAAACTATCCCAAACACCCTTTGCTGTCTTTTTGATGATTCAGAAGGCAAAGTCATTCTCAAGTTGGAAAAGCACACAGTGTTTTGGTGCTTTGAGATGATGGTGACAGATACCTTAGAAATATTTAGACAGAGTGGATGATGTGGGGCTGAACCAGCAGACAGTCATAGAAGGTGGGGGTATCTAGAAATAAGCCACCTGAGATTAGACATTGGTCTGGGATTGGCTGTGTATAACCTGGAACCATGCCACTGTTTGGTTAGGAATGAAGTTCCCTGGGGCAGCTCCAGCTGGCAGGAAAAGGACTTCACCATTTCAGGAAGGCTCATGCAGGGAAGTTATTATTTTAAAATCTAAAAGCAGCTCGCCTTGTTCTTACTTCTTTCTATGTACAGTATAAGGGCCTGAC